ATATTAATCGGATTTTGAAGTGGCATACCTCTAAATGTTTCTGGAGCAATTCTCTAAAAATCTGCATTCAAATTTGGAAATTTATTTTTTTTTAATATTTTTGTCATTTTTCTGATGTTATGATGTTGTACAAATTCAAAAGTGTCCCAGGGCTGAAGTTCTAAAGTCCATAACTCGACTTATATTAATCGGATTTTGAAGTGGCATACCTCTAAATGTTTCTGGAGCAATTCTCTAAAAATCTGCATTCAAATTTGGAAATTTATTTTTTTTTAATATTTTGGTAATTGTTCTGATGTTATGATGTTGTACAAATTCAAAAGTGTCCCAAGGCTGAAGTTCTAAAGTCCATAACTCGACTTATATTAATCGGATTTTGAAGTGGCATACCTCTATATGTTTCTGGAGCAATTCTCTAAAAAACTGCATTCAAATTTGGAAATTTTATTTTTTTTAATATTTTTGTCATTTTTCTGATGTTATGATATTGTACAAATTCAAAAGTGTCCCAGGGCTGAAGTTCCAAAGTCCATAACTCGACTTATATTAATCGGATTTTGAAGTGGCATACCTCTAAATGTTTCTGAAGCAATTCTCTAAAAATCTGCATTCAAATTTATAAATTCATTTTATTTTTTAATATTTTGTATTTTTTTACTTTTGCACTTCCACTAGATGAGTAACGGGTATCTGATAGTCGGCGAACTCGACTATAGAATTCCATCTTGTTTAAACTAACATTAAGTGAAAATATTCTTTATCTACGGATATCATACTTTTCAGGGCTTCCGCCATCCTACACCTACGACCGTCTCACGCACCTCTCGAGTGCTGACGATGCTTCTGGGCATTATAGCCAAACCCCTGCATCGAGACAAGTTCGAGGTAACACCGGACAGTGTGGCCTATTTGACTGCGCTGGTGGCAGTCTCCGAGGAAGTCCGGTCAAGATGTCACGTGAAACATGCCCTTCCCCGCTGGCCAGCCGATCTTAGTAATAGTGTGGAAAACGGAGAAGCATCCGGCGGAGTGCAAGCTGTTAGTTAAAAGAAAGTGAAATCATATGGACCAATGACATTTGGACGTTTCTTATAGATTGGACTGCCCCTGTCACGCCGCCAAAAAAGTTGGGACATCCTGGATCAGTCCGCTTTGCAGTTTGCCCGCCAACACAAGGTGCCCACTCTTCAGGTGAGCTTATAAGATCTAAGCGATCTGTAATTCCCACTTGTTCGAAATTCGCTGTGCAAAAGTTGTTATAACCATCTGCTATGATAACTTTTGGCTATCTATTTGAGTTTATATATTCAAACCTATATATCCCATCTACTATGTAATATCAACTATCTATCGAGATCAGCCGTTGCATAACTAATAATCGTTCAATGATTTTTTCTTTTCTCTTTTTATGTTTGATTTAAATATAAAAAACGTTACATATCACAATGTATACTCGTTGATACCATATTTTTGCCATAATCTGCCTGCCGAATCTTACATATAATTGGTGCTTGTAACTCTCATCAATATCGATATTACTATATGTCCTATATGAACTCTAAACTTGTAACTGCCACCTGCCACTTCTACTACTACGCATGAACATTGTCATTTGATTTACGTTTGATTTGGTTACCAAAACCCGCTAAAACTACAACTCGAACATCAACACTGCAAAATCAACAACCACCACGAACACAAAATTAAACTCCGTAGAACGCGCGAGTTTTGTTCAAAACTCAACGCTCATTCTCGGTGCCGACAACCAAAGATCCGAATAATGCAACCGGCATCGAAGAACGTCAGGTACTGCTCAACAAAACTTATCTCTTAGCTAAGACTAACTAACTACTACTCCACTAAATCCAATATGTTTAAGTTTGCTACTAAAACCCATTCTAAAATGAGGTCATTAATGTATCGCTGTAATGTCATTTAGTTTGGTTACACTTGCATGGCACTGAATGAAGGCAGTCAAAAAGCCATTCAATTCACTCTACGCATTGCCGAAATGCACATTTCGTATGTAGATCGTTCGTAGATCTTTCATCTTCACTAGTACTTTTTTACCATATCTGTGTGTAATTCAATATCACAACAATTTTATTACAAATCAATACGTATTTGAACAGGAACGCGGTTCGCGTTCGTCGGTGTCCAACGAGTCCAACGTACTGCTCGATCCCGAGGTATTACCTGATCTATCCATACAAGCCCTGGTGCTGACTGTTTTGGCCACCTTGGTCAAGTATTCTTCGGATGAGGGCGAAACGCGCGTTTTGTATCAGTATTTGGCTGAAGGATCGGTGGTTTTTCCAAAGGTGTTTCCCGTCATGTGAGTCTATACATTTCTATCCTCTTTCGAGAAAGGTTAATAACATTTTTGATTTCGTAGCCATTCACTGCTGGACCAGAAGATAAACAATATCTTGTCAGTGTCACACGATCAAGTGGTGCTCAACTCTGTGCAGAACATTATACAAAATATGCTGGCCAGCGAAGATCCTTCGCAGCAGCAGTTGCACTTCCTGCAGAGTTGTGGATTTGGCGGACTCTGGCGATTTGCTGGTCCCTTCACCAAGGTGGGTGCTTAACAGTGGGCATTCCAAGGTATCCAAAAGTTATGATTGAAATGTATTATTTTTAGTACAATATGATGGGCGAGTCTTCGGAGCTGTTTGTCAACTGTTTGGAGGCCATGGTTGAGACCTGTTTACCAGGCGACGAATCCGCGCCGGTGCCACCTTCCCCGCGCCCATACAACCTCAGCTCCAGTCTGAGTAGCCTGACCCTGGGATCCCCCACGGATAAAGGTTAGTATATGGTAGATTTGCTTTAGCTTTTGCCCAAGCCATACCGTAATGCATTGCTTTAACCAATAGCGTTTATTTTTCAATAGCAAGACCCATTGAATGAACACAGATTTTTACAAACAGTATTTACTCAAACTTAACCTTTTCTTTATATCACACCAATTGCGATATATAGCATTCTCATCGGAATCATTAGATTTTTATGACAATTGCCCAGGCAGCGTCAGCAGCCTGCGACGCGCCTCACACAGCAAATCACGCGCCAAACATCGAATTAACGACAGTCCATCACATTGAACGTTCCACAAGTAAAATACGAAAATATTCAAACTGCAACTTAAGACAAAATAAGAATAGCTGAAAACAATGCAACAAAATAACACCATGATTGGAAAACATATGTATTTCGTAGTTATATAAGCTTTGCCAAATGGAATTATTGTCCCAACACTCCAAGCGATTTCACTTTTGTAATATCAAACACAGTACCCAATATGCAAATTGTTAATCTCAAAAAGAAAGTCCAATGAAAATTACACAAGATAATGCACCATTAGCAAATTGATGTTGAAGATTTGAGAATTAAATTGATGATAAATCTGGTACCTTGAAGCATTTACAACATATTTTTGACATAATGTAGGTGAATTCAAAGCACCTTTTGTAGCGTAGAGTAGTGTTGTCATATTTGTTGTTCAAAAATTAAGGAAATTCAAATATAATTCACGATAGCTAAATTATAACAGAGATCCAAAATATATTTCTGATAAATGCATGCCAAGAGTATATAAAACTAATGCAATTAAAAATAGCTGACAACCTTTAGTTATCAGTAGCTCCTAATTTAGCTAAGAACAAATACTGGACACAGAAAATACATCAAGATTTTATATATTTTCATTGACAACTATATTTTATACGAGCCAATAGATATTTGAAGTAAGTCTAAGTAAATTTAATAACCTTCACTGCTTTTTTGCCCTAAATTTTCCTTCGACCCGCTTTGTTCTTCCCTCGATATGTTTATGCAAGTTTTGTCTTACTTTCAGCTGCATGAATAACAACTACAAACCCGCGCACTAGACGTACCACACTTATCGCAAAAGTAATGCGTTTCCTAAATCTGTTTAAAAAGTGCTTTTAGAGAACGTGAAAACCCCCACAGAATGTCGTACAAAATCATAGAATATTTATACAAATATATGTATGTATAGAATGTCCAGAAGCGATGGCCACTGAATGCGAAAGGAGGAAATGAACGCGTGAATTGATGTATGAAAACAGAATGTATATAATTGTATGTGTAGAAGGGAGTGGATCGAGGATACTGTAACCCACGTAGAAGAAGATATCGAACGGAAATATTTTTAAACAATTACCGAATGTACATTTTAATCTTTGCAACCCACAACTGCAACTAGGCACACCAAGTCCACCAGTTCCTCAAAGGATGACCGCGACCAGGCGAAACGGAGTTAACCATGAAAGCGATTAAAGGCAAAATCAAACGAAACGAATACATGAACAAGAATAACTTAAAGCTTTAAGACGGCGGCATGTTGCACATGTCGTTTGCATTACTTTGTATTATAGATGAATCTCCCCGCAGCAAATGTATCAGATGGCATTTATATATTTTTTTTCTATTCTATATAATTTTATTTTATAAACCAAGTTCACCTCTCATTAGTCCATACTAATTTATTTCATCAGCACATTTTCCAAGAAATTTCTAAAACACCAAAAACTAATCGACTTTAAGCTTAAAACGACCCAGTCCGCTTTAAATATAATTTAGTTTTAAGCACAAACAGAGATTTTAATCGAAATAGAGTTGATAAGCGAAATGAATCGAACCAAAATAAAAACTTACGAACGTTACACATTTGTACCTCTTATTAAACAATAAACGAAGCAAAATAGTACGTTACACTTACTTTCTAGCACATGGATTTTAAACTATATTTGGCGTTATCCGCAGTAAACAAGAACGTTTTTTTAACTAGATGAGCAAAAAAAAAAAATGGAACTGGATTCTATACATTATTATTAATCTAAATGTATATGTGTGTGTTGCTATATGTGTATTAAACGAATATGTATCTTTGTAAATTACAGCCACTTGAAGATATTTATGAAATGTTAATGTCCCAAATTTATCAATGTACAAGAATATCGAACAAATTAATATACTTTCAATTAAAATGTTTATTATATATCACAACGTTTCTTTTATTGGGCAAGTTTACAATTGCGAGCGATTTTTTCTTCTTTTTTATGATCCTTGAGCCGCCTCATCTACTTCCATAAGCAGGATGATTCATCATTGTCAACAGTTGATCCCTCTTTTAAAATCTTCCCCTCATGGAAATTGGCGCAATTGAAATCCCTGTTTTTGCATATGGCTGTCTTCCTTAAGTCGTCCCAAAACCCATATCAAAACATTGCCACGCTGATGATCTCAGAAACCTCCCCCACGAAGAAAACTGGAAACGAAATCAGTGCCATCAGATGTCAGCAAATGTCGCCAGTGCCTGGCTGCACTGTTTGTTAACTTCTCGATTTCATGGCTGCGATTGCAGCGACCCCGGGTCTTCAATTTGAACTGGAACTCACCCTCGGGCAGGTGGATTTCGTCAATGGCCGAATATCCGAGTACCCAATCTCGCAAAATGCGCCAAACAAGTGTCACAGCTGACCGAGGCCGAGGAAGCGGGCAACCGGCAGCAGAAGTGCGGCACAATCCCAATACTTGTGGGAATGTCTCCAGTACACTTTCTCACGATGCACATGCACATGCACCGACCGACCGATCGACCCATCGCAGCACCGGCTGCTTGCCGCTTGCCTGGGTGGTGCCGTTCCGTTGGTGGTGGTTGCTGCGGTGGTTGCTGCTGCTGCTGCTGCTGCTGCTGCTGCTGCTGCTGCTGATGGTGCTCCGTGCCCGTAAGTGTAACGCAATGTCGCGCCAAAGAGGAAATGGGGTCTGTGTGACTGTGCGCCAAAAGGGAAGAGGCCACACTGCAAGAAAATGCGAATTCTGAAATGAAAACATAAATTAAAGATGGACTACAAAGGCTTCGGTACGTAAAATTATTTATATTGTATTGTTTTTATAGCAGAGTAAAGCAAGATATATTATAGTTCCTGAAGAACTATTTATATATAAAATAATATATATTTATTTATATATTAAATAATAAACCCATTTAAAGCAAAGATAAACAAACTTTTCGCCCAGTGCACCTGCACGCACACAAGCAGAAACCCACACCCAAGTGCAACAATGGCACTGCCTCGACGAGATTGGCTCTTCGGCTTAAGTGAGGACGGCACGCATGGGGCACGGCTCTCTCTTCCCGAGGGGAGTGGGAACCAGGGAGCACGGATGGCTGGCAGGCAGGTCGAGGTCATGTCGATGCCGATGCCGATGTCGTGTGTGCGTGTGGTGCGCTGCTGGTGGTGGTGGTTGATTGCTCCGGCTCTTTCCTCCTGCTCTTCTGCGGAGACCCTTCTTCAGATTCAGACTGTTGCGCCGGCGCACGGCAACAGCACGAGGAAGAGAGACGTCCGAAGAGAGTGAGCTACTAGCTCGGGCGAAGATCCGAAGAACGTGTTATTGGACCCTAGTCAATGCACTGAAAAAAACTTTGAGGCGTTGTATTACATAGAATATACTATATTATACTATTATGAGCATGGTTGAGGATGCTTTGATTAAAAATCTTCAAATTAATGAAATATAATTACCCTATTTGTATTAGCTTACATTTTTTGACTTAAGATACTTTTGGCAAATGCAATCCTTTTTGCTTCCATTTGACATCAAAAAATTAACTTATATACTTGAAAAGTGTTTTTTTGAAAATATAGTTTGTGCTTGTTTGCTACAGCGTATAGATTTTGTTTTCAGTGCAAGAAGAGAGGCTCAGCGGCTTCCGCCCGATCCAATTTTTTTGATGTTGCACACGTGCAGCGCCGAGGGAATCTTGCCACAAGCAGAGAGTGACCCGATTGATGCTTCGTGCTGATCGTCGGCGTGTAGGAGCGTTGTGATCGCTGTGCGTGGTGGCAGTTAGGGGAGGATTTCGATTTCGCAAGTGTATGGCACCAGCAGCTACAAAAAGGATCAGCTTACCTTGCGGCAAGATCATTTCTCAAGTGACTACCGTGCAGTGCGGAGCGGCAGCAGCGACATCGCCACATCGCAACTTTATTTACAAACAAGCACAACACCAAATCAAAACCGACTATACACAATGGCCGTACAGGGTCAGAGATTTATGACCAAGACTCAGCATTACCGCAAGGTGACCAAGCCCCTTCTGGAGCGCAAGAGACGCGCCCGGATGAACCTGTATCTGGACGAACTTAAGGACCTCATTGTAGACACCATGGATGCGCAGGGCGAGCAGGTCAGCAAGCTGGAGAAAGCGGACATCCTGGAGCTCACTGTCAACTATCTGAAGGCGCAACAGCAGCAGCGAGTGGCCAATCCGCAATCGCCACCACCCGACCAGGTTAACTTGGACAAATTCCGGGCCGGATACACCCAGGCTGCCTACGAGGTCTCACACATATTCTCCACGGTACCCGGCTTGGATCTCAAATTCGGCACCCATCTGATGAAGCAATTGGGTCACCAGCTCAAGGACATGAAGCAGGAGGAAGAAATCATCGAAATGGCCGACGAACCAGTAAATCTATCCGACCAAAAACGCTCAAAGTCTCCGCGGGAAGAGGACATCCATCAAGGCGAAGAAGTCTGGCGCCCCTGGTGAAGGGCATTCCATATATACGCAACCAATTAACATTGATAGCTTTACCACTCAGTTTCATTGAGAAACAATCCAAGTTTTCCAAGGTCTAGTGTAAACATTTGCCTCAGAATCGTATTTAGTTGGTAGTTGATTTGATATGATGTGATGTTCCTGTGATAGTTCTTAAGTTCGTATTTTGTATTTGATCTCCCATAGGCTTACTGATTCATGTATTTAATTCACTGTAATTTATTTCATCATTGCAAGAGCTTCCCCACCGAGCTTCCAATTAGTCTCATTAAGAACACATTTTTATGTATGCTTTAAAATTATATTTTTGCTTTACACCATTATCTATAAGCCATGAACTTTTGAGTAATAAAATGAACATAAACTGAAACTGAAACTATAAAAGCATTATACATTTTGGACTATTAACAAAAGAGGGTGCTATACGTTTAATTTTCTTACTTGGGTTTTTCTTATTGTCAACCGGCTACTCGTTTTCAAAAATGAGCTTTGTAGTATGAATTGCTCGAAAACTATTTTTTCCACTTATTTTTATTCCCTCTTTTCTGAAAAATATTTTAAAATCAGACCTAATTGGCCTGATTTGTGAATATTGATATATTTTCTTGGGATGTTAATCATTCATATTTCTAAATACCAAATATCGTTAGGCTCTCCACTTGAATTCAAGACAATTGAACTCCCCACTCCTTTACAAATCCCTGCAATGCACCACCCATCCAGCCATCCATCCATCCATTACAAAGGTCCTGGAACGCGAGCAACTTACAGCCGAAAGTGTGTCCACAGCGAGCCACACGCGAGCAGCGCTCCAGGATCAGCTTCGCTGGCCCCTTTTACATGTCGGCTGGAGGGAGAGGCAGAGGTCCTGCCGGGTCAGGGGGATCGGGAAGTCGAACACACATTAAGCACACTCGACGCACACGAGCAATGTTCCCACAGGATCATAACAGCCGACCAACAAGTGCAGGATGCCGCTGTCCTTGTCCCTTCCTCTGCCACCAAACACGAACCCGATCCAATTTGGAATGCCAACGGTAAACAGGAAGTCGTCGAAGGAATCGCAACGCCTCGTCCTTATCCTTATCCCCATCCCCCTGGCGGAGATCCTCGCTATCGTGGGAACCCCAGAGGACCCCGATGAGATGGCATAATGCAGGCAGTTCATTATCCTTATGCCCCCCACCCTGCCCTGCCATAGTCAAATCATAACACACAAATCTAGACGGCACAAACGGCAGCTGTTCGCTCTGCAAATTCCCATGCCCATGCCCATGGCCATGCTCGGCTGCTTTTTGCGGGCAGGTGAGCGAGTCGATGTGAGAAACCGAGTAGGAAAGTGTTTCCCACGATCCTGGCAGCGATCCTGCTCCCTGGCCCGTTTGATAAGGGTGCCGGGGCCAACAATAAGAAATCGCCCGAACAATAAGGAGCGGTCTCAAGAAGCGGAAGGGTCGGTACCGAGCAACCCTCATGCCAGCACACGAAGCGTGTCCCCGTCCCTTTGGCTCCTCGAATGCCAGCACACACGACGACGGCCACGATGACGATGACGATCCCTTTGGCCCATTTTGGGGGTTGTTTCTGGCCAGCTATATAAGGTCGATCACCGAAGGTCTAGCAGCACACAACGTCTTCGACCGTCAGAGCAGCCAGAGCTCAAAGAACTCAGCTTACACCAAAAATACGAGAAGAACAAAAAGAAACACACAACATGTCTTCGCTACAAATGTCCGAGATGTCCAAGACCTATCAGTACCGCAAGGTGATGAAGCCCATGCTGGAGAGGAAGCGTCGTGCCAGAATCAACAAGTGCCTGGACGAGCTGAAGGATCTTATGGTAGCCACCTTGGAGTCCGAGGGCGAGCACGTCACCCGGCTGGAGAAGGCCGACATCCTGGAACTTACCGTCACCCACTTGCAAAAGATGAAGCAGCAGCGCCAGCACAAGCGGGCTTCCGGCGATGAGAGCTTGACTCCGGCGGAAGGCTTCCGTTCCGGCTACATCCATGCCGTCAATGAGGTCTCCCGTTCACTCTCCCAACTGCCCGGCATGAATGTCAGCCTGGGCACACAGCTAATGACCCACCTGGGACAGCGCCTCAATCAGATCCAGCCAGCAGAAAAGGAAGTCTTGCCCGTGACCGCTCCACTCTCCGTGCACATTGCCAATCGGGATGCCTACTCCGTGCCCATTTCGCCAATCTCCAGCTACGCCGGCAGTCCCAACTCCAATACCAGTTCGACCAGTCACTCCCTTTTGACCACCATCGATGTGACCAAGATGGAGGACGACAGCGAGGACGAGGAGAACGTCTGGCGTCCCTGGTAGAGGGGATTACTTCATCCCACTACAGAAAAGAACCAAGGAGAGATCATAGAAAGTAAAAGTCTTCCGGGTCATTGGATTTCCCCCAGTGTACTTCACCCTAGTTATAAGTAAACAACATACCACCACACAAAGCTTTAGATGAGGACGCGCAGTTCATGTGATAACTAAATAAATATTAAATTATATAGCTAAAATTAAATGATCACGACTTTTTCTACCACTATCCAGTGACTCACATGCAAATTACTGAGACACTCCCAGGTCTAAACTGTTGCCAATTATTTGCGGTCTAGAACGGAAACGCTAGAAACGCAATAGCACCTCTTTCTGTACTTTCTGTAACTTTTCGATCGCCCCACGGATGCACATACACGATCGTCGGACAAAAGAAAGCGAAAACAATGCCAAGGCCGAAACAAGGAGAATTAAGCAGAAGAACTAGAATGAAAGAAGCAGTCCAAAGCCGGGGCTACCGATGGGCCCCATACACTTAGCCATAACATGGCCTATATGGCATTTGGTTGGAACTCAAACACGTGTGCGGACAATAAGCGAAGGTAACAGAAAATATTTGAGTCTTATCTGAGCGTATCTAATCGAGTTACGACAATGTCGCTCAGACTTAGAAGAAAACAAATGGGCATTGGGTCGGGGAGGAACCCAAAAAATCCAACAAAATAAAAAGGGATCGAGTCATCATTCATCCCGCATCCATCCTGATTTCGCTTTGTTCTCCTCGATTTTTTGTTTCCGTGATTCTGCCTGGCCACTCGGCTAGAAAATCGTGTGCACAATGGTCAAGGTAAGCTATGGGCACATAATTGCTTCGGATCAGGTAAATGAGTGTCTTGCCCTAGGGCAACTTTAAGATGGAGGAGCTCCAGCCGGGGACAGGATATCGTTTTTTTTTTTTTTTGTTTCTTTTTTATGGGCACTGCCTCGAGCCTTTTTTGATTTTTATTTTCTGGGTTTTGTTTCGTTTTTTGATTTGGCTGACCCAGCATCATTTGGTTATCGGTGTGCCAAGACCAGTAGCCGATCCACAGACGCCTCTGTCTTAAAAATCGACGCAGGGCACATCGAGGGAATAGTCAACGAGATCGGTATCAGGATTGGCTTGGGACTAGTCTGGGCTGCCAGGGTGTAATAAATTTGAAAAGGAACTGAATTTATAGAGATTTTTCAGTTGATTAAAATTCTGTTAACTGGCTAGAGCCGAAAGTAGATTATCTTGAAATCGATCTTCTTCACAACAGCCGTAAGTGTTTATACTTAATTTTACATTTCCGTCCTTTTGTTTTCTCGGGTGCCAGCAATTATTTATGGAAATCAGTAAGATTTATGGCGTAGGGTTACTAGCTTACAAAGGATTTAATTTAAATTGTTTTATGCCACATAAGGAATTCTCAATGTTTTAGAAATATAGCTGTAAGATATACTGGACTTGGAAATTCTGTGTAATAATAAACCCTATTCACCACTGAACAATGTAATGTTTCAATGTCACCACCACCCTAAGATAACATAAAGTGTAATAAGGGACACTCCCTAAGAGCCATGCTAAATTGTAGCTCACTTTCGATGCTTGGCCATTCGTAGATGATCCGATCAAGGCGACACAACTATGGACTTGACAATAAGAGGACCAACAGCAATCCAAACCGAGCAAACCCAGTTACCATGCCATACAATGGGCAATAAGAAAAAGTCGGTTATAGGGACATGCTGAGCAATCGCACCCAAAACGCCAAAAGGAAATGCTGGCACAAAAGATACTTAATCTTATAGGTAAACCCGATGAATGATGAACGAATGGCGGCGACGTAACCGAACCCCGATACAGCAATCCGGCAATCCGGCGATCGAGCTCGAACGCAAGCCCAAGTCATTAAAAACTACAATACACAAACTGCATACGAATCACTCGAAGACCGAGGCCCAAAGAAAGGGTCTGTTTTTTTTTTGGTAGGGGAAGGGACTGAAGACTGAAGACCGGGGACCGTGGCCAGCAAAAAAAAAACGAAATATCAGAAGCGAAGATCGTGAGAAAATGGTTTGGAACGTGGTTCTCACACGATCGACACACCTGCCCTTTTTGTGTGTGTGTGTGTGTGTGTATCTGGCTGGGCTACCACTGCGCGTGTGTGTGTGTGTACTTTTACGAATTCAAGATACAAGACCACTTACGGGCAAGATCACGACCGACTCGAGCTGCGGCTATATGGCTATGGATCGACATGAAAGAGAAAAGCAGCGTGCGGTAAGTGTGTCTCAGTCGAAGATTCTGCTCAGGCACAGCCGCAGCTTCAGCTTCAGCTACAGCTCCGACTTTTGTGCATTGGCCAACATTGTAATGACTGTGGACACACGATCGTTAAGAGCGCGCCGTGTGATCTGTGAGGGAAAGGGGTGCGAGGCTTCCAGGGGGCAACAACTGTGGGTTCGGGCACGGCGCATGCGTCGCTGTTTTGTTGAACGAACTCAATTTAGTTGGTTTATGACCAAAAAAGCGAGAGCGAGCGGGATGCACGAGGAGATCGGCTATGGGGATTCGGAGTGGGAGATGGTCGTTGGGGAGCTGCAGCGCTGCAGCGCTGGAGCGCTGGAGAGGCACCCAACCACACTTATATGGTGTGCTATTGACTCTGTAATATCTTTAATATGGGATGTTGTTACACTACATTGGCACACGCTCTTGCTGCCACTGGACAAGCTGCCCACTGGCTGTGTTTGTATGCGATCGTATGGGAATGGGCATGGGCATGGGAATGGGAATGGCTGAAGATCGAGGCACGAGTGCCAGTCCCATCCTCCTGCCTCCATGTGCAGCCCATTGCCAGGCCGGTTTGCCGCCGCCTCTCCTTTATTAAGTGGTGGTCTTGCGCTTACTTTAATATGGCTGCATTAAGCCTGAGCGGCGTGCGGAGTATTATGACTGAAGTAGGTGGCCGGACCCGCGGTGCCTGCGATTGGGGGTCCGCCGGCACACAGAGGTCACGTGATGGATGACGTGTGGGCTCTACTGTACCTCCTGTCACAAGATTCGAAATGGGTTGGGTGAGGTGCGAGCCACGCAAAGGGATCTTGGGGTGCTTAACCCAAAATCAATAATTGCAACCTTTCTCTATTTTGGTAAAGTATAAAGAAAACTATTGCATTTGTTATACGCCGTTCAAAAATACTTATTAGCCAACTACACAGTACAGAATTTACGAAATATGCCTTTTATGAGCAAACCAATTTTGAGTCATCATTGAGTTCTGCCTCTGAGTTAATCAGGTATTAGATAGATATGGAAATGGAACCCGCTCTGAAGTCAGCAATCATCATATTTAATAACCTCTTACGAATGACGCACGTTTGGCCAAAAATGAAAACCAAAGCCGACAAGCCGAATGGGAACCCCTCTAGATCAGTTTCGCAAACGAAGCCATCCAATTAGCCCGCGGCTATGGCCAACATAGCCGCACTTTGTCAATCTCGGAGTGGAATGATCGCCTTTCAACTGGTCGTCCATCGCGAAATAGATCACCCATTTCAGCGGACTACCGTTGAGCCCTATAAATAGCCGTTTTGTAGCCCAAAAAAAAGCAATAAATAAGCGGAGAAGCGCTAACTTGGCCGTCTCGATGCCAAAGTTACGTGACTAATCACATTTTCGGAAGATTAACAGCAATCAGCGACGGCCTGAACGGTGCCAGACTCGAGACGACCTGGTAAGTAGTCATCATCATAGTTGTCCGCCAGACAAAGGCGCTGAATCCGAGGTTCCGTAATCGAACCGCACTTCGATACACATACCCCAATCCATACCCATACCCATACCCATGCCCATACAGACTTGGAGTCTTAGGACTTAAGTGCCGAGACGGTCGCGGTCGCGGGCTTAATTTGCAATGTCTGACCGCCGGTCCGTCCGCGCATGTGCCAAGCGGTCAAGCGCAGTTAAAGCTGTCAAAGGCTGAAAAAAAAACTAGTAAATAAAACAGCAAAATCTGAAAGAAAGAAAAAACAAGCGAAACACAATGACCACAATGCTGAGCCATTGACAGCGGAGCCGCGGTTCTCACACTCGGCGGGCCTCATAATAAATGACGTTTCCTAGAACTGACTTTTTGCTTTATTTTATTATTTAATTGCGACAGCGCCGGCGCAAACTTCCCGCAGATATATTGTACGTATGTATGTATGTCGTATGCCCCCTGAAAGCCCCGCATGCCGCATACCCTCGGAATTGGAATTCTCGGGGCATAATGAGGCCAAGCCGGAGAGACCAGACGATAGTCCGAGTGTGGGAAAATATTCAGCGACTTCCGGCTGTGGGCTCTTTGCGATTCGGTTCACCACGGAGTTTTATCTCTAATTCGTTACTTGTTTTAAGCGGTTTCTTCTCTTAGTGGCTTTTAGCTTGCGGTTGGACGCCCACTAAATGTCTGGGAAGTCTGAGTAATCAGGGCTATGGGAAATAAGTAAATGCAGTGGTTCTTGAGTTGGAATTTCATTTATTTTCAATTCTTTACGATTTTAGGAAGTGAGCGGCAGCAATCTCTATAGCCGGGATTTGTGGCTCTGCTAGAGATCGTTGGCTCTGCGCTGGGCTGCTGGGAAAGCTAATCCTGGGCAGCGAACGATGGTCTCCAAGGAGTGCGGTGCGGTTTCAAGTCCAGCACCTCTGTTGGGGCAACGATTTGTAGAAGCCTTCCGCTTGAAGGCGATTCAGGTGAATGTCATCTGGAGTCCAGTTGCTCACCAGGGTCGCCACATGGGGCCAGAGGTGGAGCTGGCCTCGCTGGGCGCCGGGCTGCATGCTCCGCTCTCCAAGCTGCCGCATTCCGAGGGAGGTGGGGTGACCATAGCCTGATCCTCGACTGGAGCTTGGAGGGGCACTCCGATGGGCAGCGAGGGAACCACCACTTGCAGGTAGTTGAGACGATGGCCAAGGTGACTCATCAGCTGGGTGCCGAGATCCACACTCACTCCGGGAACAGCGGCCAAAGTTTTGGACACTTCATTGGCAGCATGAACGTAGCCCGCTCGGAAACTCTCGGCGATGCTGAGCTTGGGATCGGCACTCGGAGACACTCCACCGGAGACGCTGGACAGACGCAGCTGCTTCTGGGCACGCAGTTTCTTCATGTGCTCCACGGTCAGCTCCAGGATGTCGGCCTTCTCCAGCCGGGTGATGTGCTCGCCCTCCTGGGTCAGGCACTCCACCATGATGTCCTTGAGCTCGTCCAGGCACTTGTTGATCCTGGCACGGCGCTTGCGCTCCAGCATGGGCTTCATCACCTTGCGGTACTGATACGTCTTGGACATCTCCATTTCCAGAACCATTTTGTAGTAGTTTGGTTTTATTTTTTTTTGTAGAGAGGGTAAAGTAAACTCGCGTAATCCACAGGTCGCAATGTTCCACTAGATTCAGACTCGGAGACTCTGTGTGCACGCAACGAAGTCGGAGCTTTGAATGAGTCGGCTGGCTCTGGGATCGGCTTTATATAGCCTCTGCCGCCCTGGGAACTGGGCAGTGAGTGCGAGCGGGACACTCATTTTGCCTCGTGCGCGGCCTGCTGCTGTTGCCAGCGGTGGTTTCAGATGGCTTGGTGGTGCTCGCTTCGTGGTGGTGGTGGTGGTAGTGGTGGTGGTGGCTTCTGTTTTTTTGTATACTTTTGCCTGTATATGTGAGGGCAATAAAATGACTTGAGCGGGCTGCGCCTTCTCGCTCTCTCTCCCTCCCTCCTTATGTATGTGCTGTGATTGTTATACCGTGGGAAACTGTTTCGCAGCCGATTTCCACGACGACGACGATGACGACGGCTGGCCTGACTTCTTCTGATTGTGCATGCTTGGGGTCTTGTACGATCCCTCGTCCGTCCTTCCGTCCATCGTCTCTCTTGAGCGGACAGACGGACGGACGGACGGACGGACGAACCGCCTTTAAGAGGTCTGTGCGACTTGGGATCCCAGATACGATGCGAGGCGAGCACATGCCTTCCATCCATAACAAGATGTTTGCATTTCAATTCATTTGTATGGTCGACTATGGTCGGGGTCCGGTCTTTTGGGCTTCAATTCGGTGCGGTTGGGTTCGGTTCGGTCTCAAGTCTTGCCATGTGCCTTCACCCTTTTGCAGTAGCTTATGGCACGCTGATAATTGTGGAATCGTCATCGGGCCAACCCGAGACGGGCCAGTGTTTCTGTTTCTTGCTTTTTTGTTAGCGCTTTATGGATCATTGATTGGATCGTGGTAGTCGTGGGTTTCGTGGGACGAGCATTACGCTTTTCGTTTACATGATTATTCTTGATTGTCGGTTGGGGATCGTTTGGGGATCAGCTGAGGATCGGTTGGGGGTTTTGGGTTCGCTTGGGGATCTTGGGTATCTTGGGTACCTTGGGTCGTCGCTCGCTTCTATTTGTAGACAATTACCATAGCGACTCCGGGCTGGGAACCGATCGAAGTCGACGTGTGCGCGAAAGTCGGTTACAATCGTAATGGTTGTTGCCAGCACACGCTATAAATGTTATGGCTCGTGGACTATACTGGATATATGTATATATTTGGCACACTCGGTATTTATTTTTAGCGCTATATCGTCATGATTCATCAGCTTTAGATGCTAGATCTCCATCCGCCGGCATCTGACACATCTCGGATCGAAAGCTCGGGTTTCTCAACATTTAATTAGAAGTGCCGGCGACGATGACGCTCGCTGGCGTTCATTGAAAATGACACGAGCCCGGCTCATTGGCACACAAATAAGGAATAACAAAAGCCCCGAGACGGCAGCTACTCACTATGTGTAGATAAATACAAACTCAAATAAGACAACTTAAGACTGCCCCTCGACGCATTCCGAATGAGCTACAGTTAGCCGAAACAAAACAGCAACGGCGATAAACGGGCCAACACAGTCGGCTAACAACTTATCTAACCGAAACGTTTTGTCCGCTGGACCGGGACACTTAAACTGTTGATGGCAAAAAGCTGAATGCTCCGGAAATGGCTAATTGGACTTTATGGGTCGGCAGTGTGTCAATCTGTTCGGCGAAGGGTGGTGGCTGCACTTTTGGGGTGGGTTGGTCGCAGAATATTTGCGACAACCAATTAAGGATTAATTCCTATTGGACTATTAAAGATACGTTGCTATAAAAGTATGGAAGAACTATAAGGGATTTTAAAAACAGAGATATGTAGCTTCAAGAAAAATTAAACTTTTCAGTTTCTAATTATTGAAATTGTACTGTGAATAGTCTTATTCCTCATAATTAACGAACAGGATAATACAGAAATATTTATTAAGAACAACAAAGACTAGAAAATACGACCTACATTTTTTGAATAATCCATTTATACAACTAAAAGTAAAATAGTATAGGGGCTCCAATTATAATTCAAATAATTAAAGACTTCGGAAGCTCCAATTTCCTTGTAGCCGCTATAATAAATGCCTATGCACGCCTCTGAATGACTTTTCCAGCCCAACTAGTTCTGAATCACTGTCCTAACTCGAATCATTAATACCAATTGCAGCAATTAGAGGGCACCCAGTGGACGAGCACGTGCCCCTAATAGATTTCATCCACTGTGCCCTTATAGTTTGAAATGCAGAAACCCAATCTGCTGGCCCATGAAGAACACATTCAGTAAATATTATATGGCATAAAAAGCTAGTGAATCATTTCAGAAATTTCATCAGATTCTGCAATGCTCGTTGGGGTGTAGCGCATATGGTCAAGTCGCTTAAGACCAACTGGCCTTTATACACCCAATCATCCAAAGATATAGCTGCGCATACACAAACATACATACATACGAGTATATCGCGAAGACCTCATTTCTCTCGCTTTATTATTTCTCTTGCTTGCTTTTTTGTTAAACAATTTTAGTGCTTTATTTTTTTGTCGATGGCATACGCACGCGCGAATTTCAGTGCCCCCGCGGAGTTGAGCGATCGCCCAAGGGGCGGAGCGGCAAGGGGCGGGGCACGAGAGCGTGCACAACTTGGAGACCCAGAGCAACAACACCAAGCAGTGTGTATGGCCATAGCGTGTTGTTGAATTAATTTATATCCAACAGTGCGCTTTCAACTTTATTGCGCCGCGAAAAGCAGCCAGCCAAGTCAGCAGTCGGCCAAAGGGGGGGCGCCCCTCTCACCCCACTGAAAACCCCGCCGCTTAAGCCCCACTTGAAGCCCCCCGCAAGCCCACAGATACACCAGCTCACAGATACAACGCACACCAAGGCAACGCCAGACCGTGGGAAACAAACTCGTGCCAGTCGTTTCATTGCTGTCAAATAATATCTTGATGGGGATCAACTTGAAAAGATTGGTTGGGGCTTGGGCCCGAGCTCAGTCCGCCGCTCCGGTTCTCCGTGTCCCCCCTTTGGCCCTCATTCGCTGGTTGCCGCTGTTTAGGATGCGGTCGACGCTTTTGTGTTTTTCCCCCCCTTTTTTTATACAGCTTTTCTCATTTTTTTCGTATTTTTCAGATCTCTTTTTTAATGCTTTACACATTTGTTCGTCATAGCCGCGCGTTAAGTATGTGTGTCCATGTGTGCACTCGAAAAAAATGCCATGGATTGGCACTTCTGCAGAGTAATTTTAGTAAGTTCCTTCAATAATCATAGGTATTCCAATATTATAGTTTCTAAATTATAACTTCGCCTTAAAGTAATATATAATATAATAATATAGTTTCTAAATTATAACTTGGCTTTCAAGTAACGTTGCACTTCAAGTAACTGCTTTCGTTAGCCTTTCTTTTGAGTATTTCTCAAAGTGTACGCATGCTGGCATTGGCATCTCAAGTGGTGTATGTAAAGATCCAAAAAGCCACAAACCAGTTTGCCATCCGCCAAAGCCAGTGGACTCTGCTCCGTGGCTGCTGGGATGCCGACACATACGATACTCCGCTTGGAGATCACATAAAAGACCCGGCACACCTCCTACTGCAGCCTCAGACCCCCTCGTGGATGCCCCTGCTCCTCCGCAGCCACCGCCTTGTGAATGGCTCCTCCGCCTGCTTTTATGCACTGTTTGTTGTGTATACACGGTCGGGCACTTGGCACGTTGCCCATTATCTCTCGGCGACTCAAACTCGAAATGGTAGTGAAGCTGAGGCTGTGGCTTTTATTTTTTGTAAAGATTTCGAGTGCATATATCATATTACCACCACCAGCAGGCAGAGATGCATCATCATTCCCGGCCTCCACCAAGTGTAAGCTGTCAATGGCCCCTTGACAGGAGGCTCCCAGATAGTGGCGATCCCCCCAGAAGTCTCCCACTTTACAACTTGGATCTTGAGTCCTATTTCATTCGATTTTTCCCATAAACAGCGAGTCAACTATTCTTGGCAGGGGGTGCAATCTGCGTGATCCATTAGTGGCACTGATAAAAAGCGAACCATAAAACAGGATCCCCTCGCCAAACAACAAGTCATTAAAACGTATCTCTAAGTACGCATTCCACGCATTCGTATCTCGCCCTCAGCTCACTTTGCACACACTTTCTCCCTGCGCCTTATCGGGTAATCCCACTCCCTTGAAACAATATTGAAGAAACCCTCCCTATCGCTCCACACGTCCAGCACACTTGGGCCGCAAGAAAGGGAATTAATTAAAATATCTATAAGATTCCCAGCTCACCCCTGGGGAGTGTTTCCAAATTGAAGACAAGTGGCAAGTACGTATTTTATTGGTGGTGGTTTCGGTGGTGCCAGTGAATGCCAGTGGTAAATGGATGCATCGAGCCCTGTGGGAAAGTTGGAAATCAAAACACCATAACAAGTGATTCGAGATGCCTATACAAATAGCAGATCCAACCCCACGATCCCCTATGACCTTTTATATGCACGAAACCGGAGCCAGGACGAAGCAATGTGTGGGAATGCGTGGGAATGGTCCTGCCGATTCGAAACTCAGAAACGGTCCCCTATTCCTGCCTTTATGTTGATTGCCCATTAGGAATACAATTTGCAACTCCTTTTCCATGATGTGATCCCCTTGTTGATCCTGGGCTTCCTTCGGTGTCGTGAGAAATTTTACCAAGGAACACCTGCCCCGTATCGGTGTGTCCTGGATTGCCAGTGTGTTGGTGATTTTTTCAGGTCCTCTCGGGGATTTCTCGCAGCACTTGAATACGTTTCCGAAAATTTTGAGGCCAACGAAAAATTGTTTCCCACACTCGTCGGACAGTTGCAGTTTTTGTAGGGGTTTGTTTCCTTTGCCGATGCACTCTTCTGCTCGTCTCATCCCGTCTCGTCTTTACCTGCTCCTGGAACTGCCCCGGCCCCCGACTCCTGGGGAGCGTCGTATTTCAGGTTCTCCGCCCCGATTATCTCGGCTCTTTGAGGGCGAGGGTCTGCGCACTCCGTTTCTGTCTCTGTTTGTTGTATACCCCGTCCCTTTCTGCGGTGCGTGTCGTTGGCAGGGGTCCGTTCTCGCCCTCTCTGTCGCTCGAGCGCACAGGAAATGCACTTCGAGCCGGGCCGTCTATAAAAGCCGTCCGTTTGCCGGTTGGGAAATCATTCTGACATCGTCAGCCTTCCAAGCAACACGCACTCTAACAGAACTACCCATACAATTTCAACCCAAAAAATGTGCCAACAAGTCGTTGTCGTCGCCACCACCAACAACAAGATGAAGACCAGCTACAGCATCAAGCAGGTCCTGAAGACGCTCTTCAAGAAGCAACAGAAGCAGCATCAGCGCCAGCAGCAGAAGCCTCTGGGCTCTCTGGAATCCCTAGAATCCGTCGACAATCTGCGCAACGCCCAGGTTGAGGAGGCCTACTATGCCGAGATCGATGAGAACGCCGCCAACGAGAAGCTGGCCCAATTGGCCCACTCTCAGGAGTTCGAGATTGTCGAGGAGCAGGAGGACGAGGAGGAGGACGTCTATGTCCCAGTTCGCTTCGCTCGCACCACCGCCGGCACCTTCTTCTGGACCACCAATCTTCAGCCAGTCGCCAGCGTTGAGCCCGCCATGTGCTACTCCATGCAGTTCCAGGATCGTTGGGCCCAGGCTTAAGAACCCATTGCCTTGCCCATCAATCTTCAAGCTTTAAGAACTCTACTAAACATTGTGATAGCATCAGCGGCTTTAACTCCCCAACAATCTCGGCGATCCAGCGCTTCCATTAGTTATTAAGATAATGTGATAGAAAAAAGAAAAAGAGCTTTAAAACAAACGTAGAAAATACAAAACAACAAATATCAAAATCAAATTCATTCATCTTATAATTGCGCTGGGGTTTTGGGTAACACCAATTTAAGAAAACACTTCATGTATCTTCTCTGAGCTTGTTATGATTCGCTTGGCATTCCACATGAATGAATCGCTTGTTGTCCTAGCATAAATATTGTTACCGAAGTCAACGTGCCAGATAAGAACCACTGCTGGCAGAGATATTCGAGATATTTCCAGAGTATGAAACAACAAGGGAAAACACTTGAATTACCTTTTTGATTTTGGGGTAGTTTACTGAGTTCCAGTTGATTATCAAATAGGGAATGAGTATGGGTTGTATCTGTTTATTGTTTACTAATATGAGCTGGCTTATATAAGGTAAACAATCAATGGACTGACTAAGCAAACTAATGAATGAATAGCATAACAACTTTGAATCAATAATACCAGTGTTCCAAGTAACTTCATAGTTCAGAAGGACATGTGAAAATTGTTTATTATGTTTTGATATTTGCCATTCATTTGCGGAATATACTTGTATGTCTTTAAGAGAAGTGGCGGGTATTTGATTGGTTTCAAGTGCGCTAACTATTGGATCGAAGTGGCTAGGAATCTCTCTACAATTCCAGTTCCTTTAGAATCTTAGAGGGAATGCAATAATTGACTTTGGCGCAATTAAAATACCCCTCTAACTGGGTCATTGAGGAAAAGTGCTACTGCAGCACATCCTGCAAGAAACCAGCCCACGCTCAACAAGAAAGTCAATTCCACGGATAGCTCTGTCCCAAAATGGTCAGCCTTGTGGCCAGCCTTGTCTTGTGGCCATTGTGGCCAGAAGGTGTGATGTGCTCGCACTTCGGCGAGATGGCCGCAAGCCAAGTTGGCCAAGAGCCAAGTGTTATGGCTATCACCTTGGCTAAGGCCACCATCGCCACCTGTGTGCGTCCAAATATGGATGTCGTGCGCATAACTTCACGGCAGCTCCTGGCAAACAGGCTGGTTGTCGCTTGTCGTACAACTTATTTATGAGTCGGTGAGGGAGTGGAGAAAGGCCGACAGGCGAGGAAAACCCCAAGAACCCGGTGAAAGATTGCAGAGCCGAGAATCGAGAACCAAACACCAAAAACCACAATTAAAATGCAACATGTAGACGTCAACACCTCCAGACATCGAATCACATGCCAAGGCGTCTCGAGGCGGACGTTGAAATTGGGCATAAAAACAGTTGCCGCAAAAGATAATCGCCTTGGCTAGGGAATCACAATCCGACGCAGGTCCCTCACACGATTCCGACTCTTTCACACACTCTGTCCGTCCTTCTCTATCAATCTCAAACGCATTTTTCCTACACTAAAAATGCAAATTGATGTCGACAGCAGGGGAGGAGCAAACGAAGGAGTTGGATAAAAGCAAATAAAAGGCCAACATGAATAACCAGAAAGATCGGGAACAATTCGAGAGTATCCGAGGCTTCAAATGCTCTTTCTTTACTGATATTTAGTTATTTTATACTTAGCTTTAAAGCTATTTGGCTGGAAATAACGAGTACTAGAATAAACATCCTCAACTTGGATAAACATGCTTAAACAGAGTCATACGTATAAATTATGGAATTTATAAAAACCAGAAATATATTCCTTATATTAATGCTGGAACAGCAATACCCATTCGAAAGTGAAGAATGTCTGGTAGCGCCGTGACGTAAATTAAGTAGCAATATAAGTTTTTGTTAAATTGCCTTTGACAGCACATAATTAATTTCGTATGCAAAGCGAGGCTTGTCTGCACGAAAGAATTGAAAATTGGAAGAAAGAACCCATCATGGAATGCCGTTGATAATGCTGATGACACTGTCCGTGCCGATGGGCGATGATAGCGATGAGTCCGGGGGACGCAACTCCGATGGCTATCTGGATGGGCAGTGGCTCATTTGCATACCTGTGCACCGAGTCAACCTGATCCTGTGCCGCGCTGTCTTGGCCGTGCTTCTTTATGTTTGGCTTTGGCTTTGGGATGGTAAAAATGGGAGTGAGAATGGGAATGAGAATGGGAATGGGTTGGGGCTCGTAGTCTTCGGCGATGGGTTTAATGGACGCGTGTGTACCCAATTCTCGATGACCAGCGGAGCGGCCTTCGCGTGCGTGACGAGCATTCGCTTAGCGGTCATTGATTGGCCAGGCCTGTTGGTTTTGGCCAGGTCTATGGAGGGCGCCGTCAGCAACAAGTGTGTGAACACCATTAAACGGTGATTAGGCCCGGCCACCACGCTCCCTTGGCCACCGCCGTGTATTGGGATTCCCCTCCCATCTTGTCTTCTGTGCGGCGCGACGAGAGGCCTCAATTACCATTATGCCCCATGGAGATCGGCCGTTTCGATGAACTGTGCAACAATGTGGGCGGTCAGAATGTTGTAACCGAATTAGAACAAAATGTGTGGCGAGAAGCAAGATCATTTGTCAAAACTTTTGGAAATGAAGGGAATGGGGAGATCTTTTTGGAACTTGGGTCTTGGTAACTATTTTATAATGACGGAAAATTATTGTTAAATGAAATGAAATTATCAGAACGTTGATATCATAATCAAAACTTCAGAATGTTAAGAGTAAACATCCGATAGAATGATGGAAAAAAGTACCACGCAGTTTCTAAAAAACATAAGTCATCTACCAAAAGTAAAACATTACCTCAACTTGCGCATCTGTAAACAATGATATCACAAGCATAGCAATAAGAGCAATGTAGAAGTTTCTTCCCCGATATTATCAATATTTTCAGACAGAATCGTCGATATCTGTAATAAACAAGATAGTAGCGAGAATGATGAGGATGTTATGAAAACAGATTTTTCCCAGACAGCAGACAATCAAAATTAAGAGTCTAGAAGGTGAATCAATATTTTTTAGAACACGTTAGAAACCCTTACTTACGCAAAAAGTCACGCGATCAAAGGGCCGACGACATCACCGTTGCCTGCAAAAAATCTCATCTATAAATAACTATCAAACCAACCTATTCTCAGAATAAGTATACCCTTTTTAAGGGTATTAAAACAGTTGCACATCGAAACAGTGCCGGTACCTTGTAGAACTTTGTAGACCACATAAACGAGTTTTTGTTTGGGCGCTTATCAGCCAAAGCAACCGCTCTTATCAGCCCTCTATAACTGATATACTATCTACTAGTAGCTCGGAGAGCCATAAAAATATATAAAAATCAATGAAACTTCAGACAGTCATACCAATTGAGATCGATAGCTACTACAGGGAGAACCCATTCGTCGGTAAAAACCCAACAAAAAAGAAAGTAAAACAACATCAAAATGATGAGCCAAACTTTGACCCTTTGCTGCCTGGCTCTGGTGGCATGTGTATACGGAAATACAGTGTCCACAAACGACACCGCCTGTCCAACTTTCTGCCCCAGTATCTACAAGCCAGTATGCGGAACTGATGGCCAGAACTTCAAGGAGTTTGCCAGCACCTGCAACCTAGTGTCCCACAATTGTCGCCGCGAAAGGAGCAGCGTGCAGGGTGAGTAAAATACAAATAAAATAGTAAAGATTCCGATCCTAAAAATCGATGTGATTCCATAGCCTATGTTGCCACCGATGCCGCCTGGTGCAGCTCCGAGTTCGTCGAGAATCTGCACGAGAAGTTGGGCAACTTCAAGCTGGAGGTTAAGGAGTGCTACAAGCCCTGTTCGATGATCTACCAGCCGGTGTGCATTACCAATGGAAAGTATCGTGCCGAGTTGGCCAACTCCTGCCTGCTGGACAACTTCAACTGCGCCCTGCAGGCTTCCGGCGCCCAACCCGCTGAGATCTTCCGCCTTCTGCGCGAAGAGAAATGCTAAATGGGTTCGCTCGTAAAGTCGGAACAATGAAAAGGACCATCTTTTGTTCGTCAAAGTCATCCTTTTGTCTTAGATGAAAATACAACCCAACGAATTTATGAGACATGAGTAAACGACTTGTTAATTGGGGTGATCGCAGTGGTGTAGCGAAAGTGAAACGGATATCAGTTGTTGCGATTCGATATGGTCAGCATCGCAAATTTGTAATATCCTTAGAAATGTTAATAGGTACATTTATTATTTGTTTTGAAAAAGCCATTTGCTTAAACTAGCCTTAAAATGTTTAGCAACATATAATAACTAATTATTTGCGGATCTATCTTTTTCATCTTTCGTTTACCCAAATTTTCATGTTTCCTAAAAAAGTATACTATAATTTAACCGCAAATTTCGTGCTTGTGGGTTTCGAGTTTCCTGTCCCCACACTGCTTTATATCCGTTTTTGCAACGTGTCTTGCGGTTGAGCTGATAATTATTGGATCCAAAACTAATTTGACGGATATTCCCATTTAACCGCAAGCTTATCACTTCCCCTGATAATGGCTGCTTCTCATTTGCCATATCGTGTTTAGCTCCAGAATACAACAATATAAGCTACATTTCATCCATGAATTGGTATTGTATTCCAATTATAGCCATGTTAAAATTCCTCCTTCCACTGAGGAGGTCCATTTTACAAGTCCCATCGAATTGAGCGTCTAACTGGGGACATTAACACAGGATATTGGCTTGCAATCACCCTTAATTCTTGTACGCACAGTCTGGGAGCATCGACGTGACATTCACCGCAAGATGATACCAGTTTGCACATCTACCACTCCTTTCAACTCCTTTGATCGGTTTACCAACCCGTCTGAGCGGACCGCTCATCTGTCAGGGCTCATTAGGTTCCACTCATAACATTGCTTCCGTTATCCTTTGCTCCGATCTTCGTTCTTCCGTTATGCCAGTACTTCATAAGATCGGGTTCTTATTTCGGATCCCCAGTACGATAAAGCAGAATAGGTGCCATTAGCAATTTCTCATGTCTGGTACCCCAAGATGATGGATCAATATAACATGGATTGTTCCTTAAGGTGATGATAAACCCACCGAAGGTTCAAGTTGGTAATCGTATGAACAACGAATCGAACTAACAACTGGAATAACCATAAAACTGGTTTTTATTATCAGACTCCTTGGCCC